ACGATTAAGATCACGGTTGGCGTGAAACTAAGGATTAGGATTTTAGATCCGTGCCTCTGGACACATCTTTGGCTGTTGTTATTACGGCTTTGCCTTACTTTCACATTTGGATTACTTAATTCTATAGACATTGAACAATGTAGTTTTTTTCTTTCTTTCTTTAGGTCGCTGTCTGTTACTTTCTCTTTATCTCTTTTTATTGTACACACACATACACTCACACACACACACACACACATATATATATATATAATAAAATATATATATATATATATATATATATATATATATATATATATATATATATATATAGTAAGAGAAATAATATAATAAATTCACATAATAATTAATCGAGTTTATAACAACAACCCTCGACAAAATACAGAGAGCAATGGACGGCTGTTTCGTCCTATTTTGGGGACTCATCAGCAGCGCGCATCCACTACCAAGAATCGAACCCAAATCGAATAACGAATCGAACAACCCACGCGTTATGCCGCTTGACCAGCGGACGTCGGTGATGGTGAGGAAACTAAACTCAATATCACGCAGTTACTCCTTATTCCGGTGGTGATACTCACCTAAGTATATATAACATAATATTACTTATCAATCTATTCTTTATCCAGGTTTAATGCTCTAAATGGAGCGGCTGCCAGATGAAAATTAATAAATATACTCTTTAATAAATAAAAAGAACATCTACTCAAATATGGGTATCCATTAAAAATAACGTCTAAGTAATCATATATATATATATATATATATCTTGAACAATAAAAAAATATTAAAAAATTAAAATCTTCAGGCACACTGGGTTGTAGATTAATATTCTTTCGTTTTTTTTTATTATTTCATTTAGATTCCTCGACTACTTTCGGCCAAAATGGCCATCATCGGGAGAAATATTTTTGCTTGCTGGTAGCAGTAAACTACAGAAATGAATGTTTTGCTGGAGAAAATGAACTTTTGTCTGTAGTTTTCATTTGTTTTTTTTAATTTTTTTTATCTTTTTAACATGAATCTTTTAACATTCCTTGTGTTGGTCAAACAGTCTCTATTAAGTTGTTATTTGAGATAAGAGCTGGATGGATCTATGCTTCTCTGAATTCCCGTGGTCAGTTTGACAGTTTTATTAGTCCTGGAGAGGGGATGTGTCTTTGTTTAGTGTTTGTGTGGGTGCTATTTGGTTCTTATGGAGTGGGTGAGTATGATATGTGTAAGCGTGTGTATTGCTGTGGGTGTGTGTTAACATTTGGCTCATAAGGGAGTGAGTGAGTATGATGTGTGTAAGTGTGCATATTCGTGTGCGTGTGTGCATAAGTGTGAGGCCTCCATAAGCATGTCTGTCTTGTGTGGGTGAGAAATGTGGGTAGGTTTTAATTTGTTGAGATATATTAGTACTATCTATGTTGTTAAATTTATGGTTTAGCCCGGCTGGATATTGTGTTTTTAGACGTTGTATCCACTTATTTTCATGGGACTCCAAAATCTTTCTAATGTTATCTGCACTGAACTTTTCTATTCTATATATATATATATATATATATATAGCATTTTAAATGTTTTCTGGTCCTTAGGACTTCAATTTTTAAAATTTTACATTTTTTTTTTTTAATTAAATTTAAAATTTGAAAATTTGAAATTTCCAAAATCCCTTGTTTGTGCGCATGTGTAGTTGCACTAACATAACAAATTTAGTCCGATGATGTCGAAAGGACGAAACACATGACACGAAGACTTGTTTCCACTTTGTCATATATTTTTCTACAAATATTTTTCTTGATATATATATATATATATATATATATATATATATATATATATATATATATATATATATTGTCATCCACAGAGACTGTTTTGCTGTAATAGTTTAGCTCGATATCCGATTGCCTCAAGCCGGAGTCGAAACCAGGCGCTCGGTAGAAGAAGGTGTATTTTGTGTATTCATTCGAATAAACACGCCCGTGACCTAGATGGCTCAATTCATGGAAAAGCTTTGCATTATCAGCAGTAGTAGTCACTGTTTAAGCTTTCCCTCCGAAATTAAATTTTTCAGGGGCGTGTATATTGTCATCTAGAGACAGATTGTTTCGTTCTATCACAGTTCATCAGTGTGGCTAGACATCCGTACACTTTCTTTTGACGTATGAATGTTTAACAGCTCACAATTTTTAGAATTGATTCAACAGATTACAGATACATAAAATTTGATTATACGGCCAAGGCTTGTTTAGAAGCAGTAACACTTTTCCGAAAAACAAACAAACAAACAAAAAACTGCAAACAGATGAATGGTGTATACAGTGTGTCACGAAGTCTTCAGCAGATTTTTCCTTCTCTTAATTCTGTTAACGATGAATAGGGAGTCCATTCTATCCTGATTTTTACCCATAGCTTTTTTTAGACATTTTTCATTGTGTGAAAGTGAATGTAAAAAAATACATACAGTATATATATATATATATATATATGCATTTTTCATTATGAATAATAATCCCTGCATGGAAGCAATATATGCGTGTGTGATATATATATATATATATATATATATATATATATATATATATATATATATATATAAAGGATTTTAACAGAGGACGGAAATTGCGACACCGAAATCCGAAGTCGCATTAGGAGAACGACAGTTGCTTTGCAAAAAGTTAAGCAAAGGAAAGAGTACTGAATTGTTGTGTAATATCGCTACTCTTATATGGTAGTGAATGTTGGACAATCTCATTAGAGATGGAGAAAAGACCTGAGGTAACAGAATACATGAGGATGCTGAGAATACCATGCACTGAATACGTGAGCAACGGTGAAGTTTTTGAGAAAATGGAAACGAAAAAGACTCGTAGCATCAGGATCCACTCCTTCGCTGCGTGAGACAAAAACTAATTGGCCTTTTTTTACTTTTACTGAACGAAGTTAGAAAAACTTTAGAAAAAAATCATTCGTTGAATTCGTGTTAAATTACTAGGTACAAGTCACTTTTGTTATCCTAAAAGGAAAAAAATCTTGCCGATTTTATGCATTTTTCACTATGAATAATAATCCCTACATGGAAGCAATATATGCGTGAGTATGATATATATATATATATATATATATATATATATATATATATATATATATATATATATATATATATATATATAAGGCAGGATGTGTGCGTGTGTGTAACGAAAGCACGGCCGCAATTTTCGATGGATTTGCACCAAAATTTACATGCACATTTACATGCACATGCTCCAAGTTAGCGGGAAGGCCAAGGCCGACTTTGCATTTCCCAACTCCCATCGATAATGGAAATAATCGATTTTTTCATGCTTCTACGGCAGTTTTCATGTAGTTTGCGGCCATTTTCTACTGACCAGATTGAGAGCCAATTGCTGACTGCCATGAATAGGCAGGAAGATTCTATTGGCCAGCGTGAGAGCCAACAGCTGACTGACACGAATGTTAACTAGCATGCTATCATGCAAAAAAATCGATAGCTGCTTTCGTCACAAGTGGGAAAAATTTACTCCAATTGGCTCATTCGCTTGCTTAAACTCAACGTTGATTCTGATTCCGCAGAACTGGGTCGGGTGTGAAAAAGTATTTGTTGTTAACATTCTTTTTTCATTCGGTTTTTCCAGTTACGAGTCCTTTTTAAAAGCTGATCGTTTTGTGTTCATTTTGTTTAGTTCTTTTTTCATAACAGATTTAGTGTTTAGTATAGAGCTTAGAAAAAATTTGCAGTGTGAGATAGGCAAGAAGTAAGGCATGTAGCAACATCAGCACGGCAAAGGGCACTCCTTTAAAGGCAAGGAAGGGCAAACATATTTTAAGTCAAGTGATAGCGATTGCTGTATGAGTCGTACGATTTTTGAATCAAGGACGAGCAACGCCGTGCCATGCTGCTTGTATATATATATATATATATATATATTAAAGTTGAAGAACTGCAAATATGCGAATCATCCCGATACCATTTGCATTCCATTATATATATTGTCACCCACAGACAGTCTGTTTCGCAGCTTTTCCGATTATTTCGAGCTGGGATTGAAACCCGACTGATTCGGCAACGGTTGGAGATTTTCCTCCTAAGCTATCGCCGCATGGTTGAAAGTAAGGTGAATTTTTATGTACTTATTCTGTGAATAAACACACCAATGCCTGAGAGAGCTCAATTCAGGGAGGTGGAAGAGCCTTGTAATATTAGTAGTATAGCCATTGTTTACAAATTCGCACTTCCAATAGGGCACAACCAAATTTAAGTTTTTCGGTTGCGTACATATTGTCAACCACAGACAGTTTCGCTGTATCACAGCTCATCAGAGAGAGAGAGAGAGAGAGAGAGAGAGAGTATGTGTGTGTATTCTGGTTGTTTAATGTGCGGCGAAGGTCGCTTGCATATTGTAAGCGACAATTCTCAGTAATATTCGGTTGAATGCACAGAACTTTACTTTTTTATCGGATTTAAGGGACTATAGAATTTAGGGAACACATTCTTTAACCTCACTTAGTTTTTCTTTCTATACTAATGTTCACCCTATACAAGGCCTAAGATCCACTCAAGGTAGAGGGTTATTGTGTGGTGTTGTATGAATATAAGAAATGTTAAGATGTGCAGTTCAAGAGGTTATGCTGGAAAGTTAACCCTACGGTTTCAGAGGTCAAGATTGGAAAAACATCCTGCTGGGCGTTTGTTCCACAAAGCAGCAGTTCTTGAGAAGAAGCTGTCCAAATGGAATTTACTTCTTACTATAGGAATACAAAAGAAAAAGATAACGGTTAACCCTAAATTTGAAAAGGTCAAGATTGTAGTGATTGGGAAAACATCCTACTTGCAATCTGTTCCATAAAGCAGCAGTTCTTGAGAAGAATCTGTCCGAATGGAACTTACTTCTTCTTAAATACGAAATACGAATGGCATCAGGATAATTCGTACGTGTGTAATTCTTTAAATGGAAGTTTTACTAAAAACGGCAATTATTCAAATCGAAGGCTTGCGACTATATCACGTTGAAACCGCTTCTCGTACCATCACTGAAGTTAAGGAACGTCAAGCCTGGTCAGTACCTAGATGGGTGACCGCTTGGGAATACCAGGTGTTGTAAGCTTGGATGTGCGAGTCAGTCGTTCATTTTGAATCGACTGCTCGGTTGAACTCTCTTCATACGGCCGGGAGGAACCCGAAGGAGGCTACGCCGAAGGGCGGAGTCTCCTTCGGGGAGGTAAAACCGGCCCTGAACCCGTTTATACGGGTTCAATGGGCATATTTTTGACCGAGCCCACGGGCTCGGAATGCCCACGTTAAAAAGACCTTGTGCCACATGACACCCTCTTAGGTGGGACTCAATATCGCGAGTAGTTTAACAGATAATGGCTCGGAATTAGAAATAGGAGAGCCGAGTTCGAATTCCAGTCGGGTTCGTTATATAATCACTTGTATCAGTAAACCGTTATTATTTCGAAAAAATCCTTATAATCCAGAAATATTTTCTGGGTTTAATAACTTACAAAAGGTTGATAAACCGTAAAAAAATCAATCAATCTTTATATCGAAGTTTTACTAGAGTTGACATAAAAATGTGCCCTAGGGTAAAAAAACTTAAATGAACTCAAAATTGGACCAAAGGTTATTTTATAGAAAAAGTTCCAGACAGATGACGTGGACATTATTTTGCTGGAGATGGATGGGTTACTATGAACATGAAAAGGAATGACTGGAAATCATAACCCTGAAAGAAGCGTCCAAACAAACGAGGAAGAAGTAAATACAAATGAAACATAAGAAAAGATAAAACGTTTATAGAGAATATGAAAAAAGTAGAGAAAATTACATTATTTACATTATTCGGACTATTGTCCTCATCTTTGTCGCCATATTTATTACAATGTTTTGGCCGTTGTACGCTCCGGCCTTCTTCAGGTGGTTGGAATGTTGAACTGAACCCTTTATTACGATCACTGGTGTAGACTGTTCTAGTTCCACGTGCCATGTTTTAATGGATGTCAGTTGTCAGTTATCTCCTGTTAAGTCCCCTCTCCAAGTTCTCCACTACCTTAACCGGGTATTGAACTCACACTCACCTTGAGGCACATGGCACAGTAGATAAAGGCGTTAGTTAGATCCAAATTATCAAAACAATTTATTGTAGTAGAAGAAACAGTTCTGTTTTTTTTTTTTTTTTTTTTTTTCTTCGCTTTCCTTCGTCACCAATTGACCCCAACCATTCTATCTTCCAGGAGCTTTAAACGCAGGCTGACAAGGTTCAGGTTTCAGTAAATTATTTTATTACCATTATCCCCTAACAAGAACAGATATTTACTCAGTAAAAGAAATCAGAAATATACAGGGTGCGGCTGGTATTTGAGGACATACAGATTTAAGATTAATTCTGCTTCCCCCTAACTTCTAATGTTTTTATTTTTCAGAAATCAAGAATGGCAAACTCTATGATAAAGGAAATGCAATAGCATGCTATGATTGTGGCATTAAAGGCTGATCATAGCGATTTCGATATTGCACATTTCCTCAGAGTTGCAAGATCGTTTGTCCACAAGATACGAAAAGAGTTAGAAGACACTGACAGACCCCAATGTCTGTATCAAAACGTAAAAGACATACTGCACGTTCTGATAAAGTGAGGACATCCGAATTTATTCAGGAAGTCAAGCAGACAATTGATGAATACCGAGGTCAATCAATGAGGTCAATTGCCAAAAAGCTGCATGTGTTTGAAAAAACAACCAGAAGGAGTGTTCATGAAGACATTCGATACAAATCCTACTTTATGAAGAGTGGTCAATTTATGTCTGAAAAAATAAAAGAAAACCGTTTAAACAGATCCAAAAGGCTGTTAAACAAACTTAAAAATCCTTCAGAAGCTGGTGTGATTTGGTTTTCTCAGATGAGAAAAATTTTGATCAAGATCAAAAACTTAACAGAAGAAATGACAGAAGGCTTTGTTCAGATCCTTCTGCGGTGTCAAAAGTGATGAGCACAAAATTTCCTTCAAGTTATATGGTATTGGGTATTGTTCGCAATGAAGGACATGTTATGCCATCACATTTTTTCCATAAGGACTTAGAGTAAATGCTGCTGCTTACATTGAGGTTCTAGAAACAGTTGTCAAGCCCTAATTATTTTTCTTTTGTTAATCATTTCACCTCAATCGAGACAGTAATGCCACTAAGATGTTACTGAGAGTGAAAGATAACGAGAAGACGTTAGTGAAGAGAATGTACAATAAAAGAACAGCATTCAGGAAAACAGAAAATGACGATTGACGTTACATTGATTTTTTTAAAAAGATTCTGGCTGACAGGGAAGCAAGAAAATGGGAGAGAGAGAGTTCCACAGGTGAGAAGTACGAAAGAGAGGAAACTATTTGAATAGAACTTACGGTTACATCTAGCTATCTTAACATTAAAACAATGAGACCTAGCTGTCGATGTAGAAGTACGCTTAAATTTGGTCGTGTTACTGCGGAGGGAAACTCACTAGAGCAATTACCATGAAAATATTTACAGAAAAGAATGAGGGGAACTACATCAAAGCGGTCGGAAAGTGATTGAAGTCGAGATGCCAGGTGAGGATAGACAGCGTTACATACCTTTATTTTGCCAATTATTAATGTATTCTATTCGTTCACGAATTCGGTCTTTTCATCTACTGGCTTTGTAAATATCTTTGATCAGGCCGCCATTTTTATAACAAAGGTACTGCCAGCTGGTGTCGACATTGCAACAGTGATAATTCAAGTGTAGCAAAACTTTGCAGACATTACAGGCAAAAACACTTGGCGTATTTATAAAATATACATTATTCTGTTTATTTTATCTTTTCCTTTCTTGCTTTAGAAGTCATTCTTTTTTTCCTTTTTCTTTTTTCTTTCTTTTTCTTTTTCAGTGTTGCTTTACGTCGCATTTTTTTCTTTCTTTTGAAATCTCTTTTGCTATTATATATTATTTTCTTTCTTTTCTTCATTTTTCTTTCTTTCTTTTTTCTTTCTTTCTTTTTTCTTTCTTACTTTCTAAGTGTTCTTTCATGTTATATACCATTTTCTTTATATTTTCTTTCTTTTAAAATATTCTTCCATGTTATATACAGTTTCCTTTCTTTCCCTTTCTTTCAACTATCTACCATCTTTCTTGCATGCTACATACCATTTTTTCTCTCTTTTTTCTTTTTTTCTTTCATGCTAAATACCATTTTCTTTCCATCTTTCTTTCTTTCTTTCTTCCTTTCTTTCTTTCTTTCTTTCTTCCATCTTTCTTTCATACTATATACCATTTTCTTTCTCTTTCATTCTTTCTTTCTTTCTTTCTTTCTTTCATCTTTCTTTCATGCTACATACCATTTTCTTTCCATCTTTCTTTCTTTCTTTCTTTCTTCCATCTTTCTTTCATGCTATATACCATTTTCTTTCTCTTTCTTTCTTTCTTTCTTTCTTTCATCTTTCTTTCATGCTACATACCATTTTCTTTCCATCTTTCTTTCTTTCTTTCTTTCATCTTTCTTTCATGCTACATACCATTTTCTTTCCATCTTTCTTTCTTTCTTTCTTTCTTTCTTTCTTTCTTTCTTTCTTTCTTCCATCTTTCTTTCATGCTACATACCATTTTCTTTCCATCTTTCTTTCTTTCTTTCTTCCATCTTTCTTTCATGCTACATACCATTTTCTTTCCATCTTTCTTCCTTTCTTTCTTTCTTTCTTTCTTCCATCTTTCTTTCATGCTATATACCATTTTCTTTCTCTTTCTTTCTTTCTTTCTTTCTTTCTTCCATCTTTCTTTCATGCTACATACCATTTTTCTTTTCCATCTTTCTTTCTTTCTTTCTTTCTTCCATCTTTCTTTCATGCTATATACCATTTCTTTTCTCTTTCTTTCTTTCTTTCTTTCTTTTCTTCCATCTTTCTTTCATGCTACATACCATTTTCTTTCCATCTTTCTTTCTTTCTTTCTTTCTTTCTTCCATCTTTCTTTCATGCTATATACCATTTTCTTTCTCTTTCTTTCTTTCTTTCTTTCTTTCTTCCATCTTTCTTTCATGCTACATACCATTTTCTTTCCATCTTTCTTTCTTTCTTTCTTTCTTTCTTCCATCTTTCTTTCATGCTATATACCATTTTCTTTCTCTTTCTTTCTTTCTTTCTTTCTTCCATCTTTCTTTCATGCTACATACCATTTTCTTTCCATCTTTCTTTCTTTCTTTCTTTCTTCCATCTTTCTTTCATGCTATATACCATTTTCTTTCTCTTTCTTTCTTTCTTTCTTTCTTCCATCTTTCTTTCATCCATCTTTCTTTCATGCTACATACCATTTTCTTTCCATCTTTCTTTCTTTCTTTCTTTCTTTCTTTCTTCCATCTTTCTTTCATGCTATATACCATTTTCTTTCTCTTTCTTTCTTTCTTTCTTTATTTCTTTATTTCTTCTATCTTCCATATTTCTTTCATGCTTCATAGCATTTTTCTCTTTCTTTCTTACTTTTTACTTTCTCTTTTTCTTTCTCTCGCTTTCATTTAACATGTCCTTTCATGTTGTATACAATTTTCTTTCATTTAAAAAAAAAACTCTTACATGATATATGCAATTTCTTTCGTTTTTTAAACGTGGTCGCTCATTTTATATACCATTTTCCTTGTTTCTTTAGTGGAATTCATTTTTTTTCTACTTTGTTCCATTTTCTCCCTTTTTTTCTTCTATCTCGTCTCATAGCGTTTTATTTCGTTTGCCTTTTTACCTTTCTTCCTCCTTCGTTCATTCTCTTTTTCTTCATCTTCACTCTCTTTTTTTTTTTTCATTCTTATTTTCGTTTCATCTTTGACCGTCTCCTTCCCAACACATATTTTCTCAACAGCGTAAGTCATTTCTGACTTCGATTAAAATATGAAATAAATACCATCAAAAAAGGAAGAAAAAAAAAGGTGAAAAGAAAGAAAGAAAGAAAGAAAGAAAGAAAGAAAAAGAATCGATTTCAGATAACCATTTCAAGCTGGCTGGGGAAAAGAGAAAATCGATAGACAGAAGCGATCGATTAGGGGTGTTTGCAGTTGGTTTGCCAACGAAGCATACACACCTGAGGAAGTCGGTCGGCGGAAGGAAGAC